TACTGTAGTATGTCCTATCACCTGTTGGGTTACTGTAGTATGTCCTATCACCTGTTGGGTTACTGTAGTATGTCCTATCACCTGTTGGGTTACTGTAGTATGTCCTATCACCTGTTGGGTTACTGTAGTGTGTCCTATCACCTGTTGGGTTACTGTAGTGTGTCCTATCACCTGTTGGGTTACTGTAGTGTGTCCTATCACCTGTTGGGTTACTGTAGTATGTCCTATCACCTGTTGGGTTACTGTAGTATGTCCTATCACCTGTTGGGTTACTGTAGTATGTCCTATCACCTGTTGGGTTACTGTAGTGTGTCCTATCACCTGTTGGGTTACTGTAGTGTGTCCTATCACCTGTTGGGTTACTGTAGTATGTCCTATCACCTGTTGGGTTACTGTAGTGTGTCCTATCACCTGTTGGGTTACTGTAGTATGTCCTATCACCTGTTGGGTTACTGTAGTGTGTCCTATCACCTGTTGGGTTACTGTAGTGTGTCCTATCACCTGTTGGGTTACTGTAGTATGTCCTATCACCTGTTGGGTTACTGTAGTATGTCCTATCACCTGTTGGGTTACTGTAGTATGTCCTATCACCTGTTGGGTTACTGTAGTATGTCCTATCACCTGTTGGGTTACTGTAGTATGTCCTATCACCTGTTGGGTTACTGTAGTATGTCCTATCACCTGTTGGGTTACTGTAGTATGTCCTATCACCTGTTGGGTTACTGTAGTATGTCCTATCACCTGTTGGGTTACTGTAGTATGTCCTATCACCTGTTGGGTTACTGTAGTATTTCCTATCACCTGTTGGGTTACTGTAGTATGTCCTATCACCTGTTGGGTTACTGTAGTGTGTCCTATCACCTGTTGGGTTACTGTAGTGTGTCCTATCACCTGTTGGGTTACTGTAGTATGTCCTATCACCTGTTGGGTTACTGTAGTATGTCCTATCACCTGTTGGGTTACTGTAGTATGTCCTATCACCTGTTGGGTTACTGTAGTGTGTCCTATCACCTGTTGGGTTACTGTAGTATGTCCTATCACCTGTTGGGTTACTGTAGTATTTCCTATCACCTGTTGGGTTACTGTAGTGTGTCCTATCACCTACTGTAGTGTGTCCTATCACCTGTTGGGTTACTGTAGTGTGTCCTATCACCTGTTTGTTACTGTAGTGTGTCCTATCACCTGTTTGGTTACTGTAATGTCTCCTATCACCTGTTGTGGTTACTGTAGTGTGGCATATCTGTTGGCGTGTTACTGTAGTATGTCCTATCACCTGTTGGGTTACTGTAGTGTGTCCTATCACCTGTTGGGTTACTGTAGTATTTCCTATCACCTGTTGGGTTACTGTAGTATGTCCTATCACCTGTTGGGTTACTGTAGTATGTCCTATCACCTGTTGGGTTACTGTAGTATTTCCTATCACCTGTTGGGTTACTGTAGTGTGTCCTATCACCTGTTGGGTTACTGTAGTGTGTCCTATCACCTGTTGGGTTACTGTAGTATGTCCTATCACCTGTTGGGTTACTGTAGTGTGTCCTATCACCTGTTGGGTTACTGTAGTATGTCCTATCACCTGTTGGGTTACTGTAGTATTTCCTATCACCTGTTGGGTTACTGTAGTGTGTCCTATCACCTGTTGGGTTACTGTAGTGTGTCCTATCACCTGTTGGGTTACTGTAGTATGTCCTATCACCTGTTGGGTTACTGTAGTGTGTCCTATCACCTGTTGGGTTACTGTAGTATTTCCTATCACCTGATGTGTCACTCTAGTGTGTCATGTCACCTTTTGTGTTACGATAGTGTGCCAGGTCACCCATTTGGTTACTGTAATGTCTCCTATCATTTTTTTGGTTGCTATACTGTGGCATATCACCTGGCGTGTTACTGTAGAGTGTCATATCACCTGCCGTGTAACTGTAGTGTGTCATATCACCTGGCGTGTTACTGTACTGTGACATATCACCTGGCGTGTTGTACTGTGACATATCACCTGGTGTGTTACTGGCGTGACATATCACCTGGCGTGTTACTGTAGTGTGACATATCACCTGGCGTGTTGTTACTGTGACATATCACCTGGCGTGTTACTGTAGTGTGACATATCACCTGGCGTGTTACTGTAGTGTGACATATCACCTGGCGTGTTACTGTAGTGTGACATATCACCTGGCGTGTTACTGTAGTGTGACATATCACCTGGCGTGTAACTGTACTGTGACATATCACCTGGCGTGTTACTGTACTGTGACATATCACCTGGCGTGTTACTGTACTGTGGCATATCACCTGGCGTGTTACTGTAGTGTGGCATATCACCTGGCGTGTTACTATACTGTGACATATCACCTGGCGTGTTACTATACTGTGACATATCACCTGGCGTGTTACTGTACTGTGACATATCACCTGTTGTGTTACTGCAGTGTGGCATATCACCTGGCGTGTTACTGTAGTGTGACATATCACCTGGCGTGTTACTGTACTGTGACATATCACCTGGCGTGTTACTGTAGTGTGACATATCACCTGTCGTGTTACTGTAGTGTGGCATATCACCTGCCGTGTTACTGTAGTGTGACATATCACCTGGCGTGTTACTATACTGTGACATATCACCTGGCGTGTTACTGTACTGTGACATATCACCTGGCGTGTTACTGTAGTGTGACATATCACCTGGCGTGTTATTGTAGTGTGGCATATCACCTGGAGTCTTACTATACTGTGACATATCACCTGGCGTGTTACTGTAGTGTGTCATATCACCTGTTGTGTTACTGTAGTGTGGCATATCACCCGTTGTGTTACTGTAGTGTGACATATCACATGCCGTGTTACTGCAGTGTGACATATCACCTGCCGTGTGACTGTAGTGTGGCATATCACCTGTTGTGTTACTGTAGTGTGGCATATCACATGCTGTGTTACTGCAGTCTGGCATATCACCTGCCGTGTTACTGTAGTGTAGCATATCACCTGTTGTGTTACTATAGTGTGGCATATCACCTGCCGTGTTACTGCAGTGTGGCATATCACCTGTTGTGTTACTATAGTGTGGCATATCACATGCCGTGTTACTGTAGTGTGGCATATCACATGTTGTGTTACTGTAGTGTGACATATCACCTGGCGTGTTACCGTAGTGTGACATATCACCTGACGTGTTACTGTACTGTGACATATCACCTGCCGTGTGTTACTGTAGTGTGACATATCACCTGGCGTGTTACTGTAGTGTGATATATCACCTGGCGTGTTACTGTAGTGTGACATATCACCTGGCGTGTTACTGTACTGTGACATATCACCTGGCGTGTAACCGTAGTGTGACAAATCACCTGGCGTGTTACTGTAGTGTGACATATCACCTGGCGTGTTACTGTAGTGTGGCATATCACCTGACGTGTTACTGTAGTGTGGCATATCACCTGGCGTGTTACTATGGTGTGACATATCACCTGGCGTGTTACTATAGTGTGACATATCACCTGGCGTGTTACTGTAGTGTGACATATCACCTGTTGTGTTACTGCAGTGTGGCATATCACCTGCCGTGTTACTGTAGTGTGGCATATCATCTGCCGTGTTACTGTAGTGTGACATATCACCTGGCGTGTTACTGTAGTGTGACATATCACCTGGCGTGTTACTGTAGTGTGGCATATCACCTGCCGTGTTACTGTAGTGTGACATATCACCTGCCGTGTTACTATACTGTGACATATCACCTGGCGTGTTACTGTACCGTGACATATCACCTGGCGTGTTACTGTAGTGTGACATATCACCTGGCGTGTTACTGTAGTGTGGCATATCACCTGGAGTCTTACTATACTGTGACATATCACCTGGCGTGTTACTGTAATGTGTCATATCACCTGTTGTGTTACTGTAGTGTGGCATATCACCTGTTGTGTTACTGTATTGTGACATATCACATGCCGTGTTACTGCAGTGTGACATATCACCTGCCGTGACTGTAGTGTGGCATATCACATGTTGTGTTACTGTAGTGTGGCATATCACATGCTGTGTTACTGCAGTCTGGCACATCACCTGCCGTGTTACTGTAGTGTAGCATATCACCTGTTGTGTTACTATAGTGTGGCATATCACCTGCCGTGTTACTGCAGTGTGGCATATCACCTGTTGTGTTACTATAGTGTGGCATATCACATGCCGTGTTACTGTAGTGTGGCATATCACATGTTGTGTTACTGTAGTGTGGCATATCACCTGCCGTGTTACTGTAGTGTGGCATATCACATGCCGTGTTACTGCAGTGTGGCATATCACATGTTGTGTTACTGTAGTGTGGCATATCACATGTTGTGTTACTGCAGTGTGACATATCACCTGTTGTGTTACTGCAGAGTGGCATATCACCTGCCGTGTTACTGTAGTGTGGCATATCACCTGTTGTGTTACTGTATTGTGACATATCACATGCCGTGTTACTGCAATCTGGCATATCACCTGCCGTGTTACTGCAGTGTGGCATATCACATGTTGTGTTACTGTAGTGTGGCATCCCAGCTAACACAAAACGTTTCTAAAACGTCTTCTAGTGGTTTCTCGTGGAAATGTTTCATGAAAACGTTTTGATAATGTTTTGGAACGTTTTTGAACGTTACTTTGAAACGTTGTGAAAACGTTTCGAATAACGTTATTAAAACGTTATCAAGAAACAAATCAAACTTCTACACACCAACGTTTTAGAAACGTTATTGAAACATTGGCGAAGGTTTTCCTATAGTTTGATTGAAACCAAATCACAACGTTATAAGATCGTTAGTGGAACATTTTGAGGGTTACATTTTTCTGATAAAATGTCTCCGTTCACTACAGGAATGTACATTAACTTGAAAATAATGGTCATGAAATCACACCTGTACAAAATATTTGTGAGAAAACTTTAAAACTGTTGTGAACATTTTGTCAAGTGGAATAGTATGTCATGTGTTTCATTACTATCATTTATTTCTGTACTGTACTGTTTACTACAGATCCACATTGTATTGTAAATATTATCCCCGTTTACTGCCGTGCGTTTAAGTTCAGCCTTTTCTGCGTGGACAACTTGCTATCTTTTGTATGGTGTCAGCTTACAGGAATGTTCCCAGATACTTTATCAGGTCAGAGCAGGAACCCGGGCATTCAAAATCGGACTCTGTACATAGCAGGCGGGAAGTTCCATCACATTCCTGGATGTAGAAGACGGTACATTTTACTCTAGTAACAAGACGACAGTTTTCTAAAAAGGAGGTATGTATATTCACATTATTATTCTATATCTTGCCTTGTGAACGTTCATCCTTTGTTTGTAACTGTACGTATTCCTATGATGTTTTCTCAATATATGTGTGATAGATATTACTTGTGGCATACAATCTTTGTGACGTAGTGTTAGAATGAGTGTTTACTACATGAGCATCAATGTTCACAAGATCAAAATCAATAGTACAAGCAACATGAGATGGCCTGTTTATATATGTTTGCAGAGTGGTAAATTAGTAAATGCACATTCATATCCAAACTATGTCACAGTGTATCTGTGTTTGCAAATAATGCAATGTAGAGTGCACGGTGTTATCAATTAAATTACAAAGAAACGTCGACTATTAACGTAACTATAATATTACCATTTATTAAATGACCAAAGTGTAGATATGTGTTCAAATATAGGAATTTTCTCTGTTTCTTCTGTCCCGTATCCAATCTGCCGACACAAATTTGGTCACGTAGACACTCTTGCTTATCAGCGATGTACAGGAAATCAGGGGATAATATTACATTCGAGTCGGTGACTCCAGCTCGTTATTTTATAGCAAACAATACGTCACTTCCCTAACAACCAGACCATGATTCCTCACAACAAATGTCAGCCCCTCACAAGTAAATGTAGTATGCGACTTTTATACAAGAGATGAAGATGTGTCATGAAGAAATATTTTTAAATAAAAGTTCATCCTGCCATTAAAATGCAACTTATCATTTATAACTTGGGCCAAATGTAAGGAATACACAATATTCAGTTCCGTAAAACTATTATGAGTAACAACTTCCTTATGTAAATGATGCCCGTATTTTGGGAAAGTATCATATAATATAATCAGATGAAATCACTTGCGCAATTTCACAAATTGCATTAATTTTGCTGGCAATAAATTCCTATTGTATATGATTAATGGTCTACTGAAGTTGATTGATCTGTATTTACTTTGTAAGTTTTCGATAAATACTTGTGGGAATTTGCACTCTTCAACATAGTTTCACGACACAGAAACATTATGTAGCAGTAATTTAGCATCATCAAGAGTGAAGTGACAGTAAATATTTATAGAATTTCTTAGTGTTTATTTCAGAAGCCAACACAGACGCAAGAAAAGCCCGATGGCAAAGATGACTGATTATCTTCCATATGTATTGATGAAATGAAGTATTCTTTAAAACATATTATTGGTTTGTTTTCATTTTCACTAATAATAACGGATGACACGATTAACAAATTTACTTACGTGTATGTATTTTATTTGAACGGGATTCAAAACACTTGGTGTTGGTAAACTAGCCTTGCAACGATATCAGAAGATGATATCGTTTCTGATATCTCTACAATCGCAAAGGTTCAACCCAAACGTTTCTGAAACGTTTTAGAAAGCCCATGGAAAAACGTTTTCAAAACGTTTTTAGAAGGTTTCTAATGTTTCTCGCCAACGTTTCTCAAAACGTTTTTAAAACGTAAAAACAACAATTAGGTTTTAAAAACGTTTTTTTGAACGTTTTTAAAACCATACGGAAACGTTTTCAAAACGTTTTCAAAACATTTCTGTGTTAGCTGGGATACCTGCCGTGTTCGCAGTGTGGCATATCACCTGCCGTGTTACTGCAATGTGTCATATCACCTGCCGTGTTACTGCAGTGTGGCATATCAGATGCCGTGTTACTGTAGTGTGGCATATCACCTGCCATGTTACTGCAGTGTGGCATATCACCTGCCGTGTTACTGTAGTGTGGCATATCACCTGCCGTGTTACTGCAGTGTGGCATATCACCTGCCGTGTTACTGCAGTGTGGCATATCACCTGCCGTGTTACTGTAGTGTGGCATATCACCTGCCGTGTTACTGTAGTGTGGCATATCACGTGTTGTGTTACTGCAGTGTGGCATATCACCTGTCGTGTTACTGTAGTGTGGCATATCACCTGCCGTGTTACTGCCATGTGTCATATCACCTGGCGTGTTACTGCCATGTGTCATATCACCTGCCGTGTTACTGCAGTGTGGCATATCACCTGCCGTGTTACTGTAGTGTGGCATATCACCTGCCGTGTTACTGCAGTGTGACATATCACCTGTCGTGTTACTGCAGTGTGGCATATCACCTGCCGTGTTACTGTAGTGTGACATATCACCTGTCGTGTTACTGTAGTGTGGAATATCACCTGCCGTGTTACTGCAGTGTGACATATCACCTGCCGTGTTACTGTAGTGTGGCATATCACCTGCCATGTTACTGTAGTGTGGCATATCACCTGGCGTCTTACCTGTAGTGTGGCATATCACCTGCCGTCTTACTGTAGTGTGGCATATCAGCTGCCGTGTTACTGTAGTGTGGCATATCACCTGCCGTGTTACTGCAGTGTTGGCATATCACCTGCCGTGTTACTGTAGTGTGGCATATCACCTGCCGTGTGACTGTAGTGTGGCATATCACCTGCCGTGTTACTGTAGTGTGGCATATCACCTGCCGTGTTACTGCAGTATGACATATCACCTGCCGTGTTACTGTAGTGTGGCATATCACCTGCCATGTTACTGTAGTGCGGCATATCACCCCGTGTTACCGTAGTGTCATTACGTGTTACTGTGTGGCATATCACCTGCCGTGTTACTGCAGTGTGGCATATCACCCGCCGTGTTACTGTAGTGTGGCATATCACATGTTGTGTTACTGCAGTGTGACATATCACCTGTTGTGTTACTGCAGAGTGGCATATCACCTGCCGTGTTACTGTAGTGTGGCATATCACCTGCCGTGTTACTGTAGTGTGGCATATCACCTGCCGTGTTACTGTAGTGTGGCATATCACATGCCGTGTTACTGTAGTGTGGCATATCACATGCCGTGTTACTGTAGTGTGGCATATCACATGTTGTGTTACTGTAGTGTGGCATATCACATGTTGTGTTACTGTAGTGTGGCATATCACCATGTCGTGTTACCGTAATGCGTGGCATATCACCTGCCGTGTTACTGCAGTGTTGTTACTGCAGTGTGGCATATCACCTGCCGTGTTACTGTAGTGTGGCATATCACCTGCCGTGTTACTGTAGTGTGGCATATCACCTGCCGTGTTACTGTAGTGTGGCATATCACCTGCCGTGTTACTGTAGTGTGGCATATCACCTGTCGTGTTACTGTAGTGTGGCATATCACCTGTCGTGTTACTGTAGTGTGGCATATCACCTGTTGTCTCACAACTGGTTTGTCTCATGGCAAGTGATGAAAGACAAATGTGAAATGTGTTGAAGAGACAAACGTTTCCAAACCCAAATGACAGCAACAGACTTTCCTTGACAGAGTTTACAACACCAGACTTATAATTGGAGAACAAAACAACATATACTGCACCAGGTAATGGAACCGCCATTGTATCTGTTGATGTATCTGCCTGACGCGGCTTATCAGAAGCTTCAACAATGGTGCCTCGGTAGTGTAGCCGACCAGGACGGGTGTACTCAACAATGGTGCCTCGGTAGTGTAGCCGACCAGGACGGGTGTACTCAAAAATGGTGCCACGGTAGTGTAGCCGACCAGGACGGGTGTAGTCAACAATGGTGCCTCGGTAGTGTAGCCAACCAGGACGAGTGTACTCAACAATGGTGCCACGGTAGTGTAGCCGACCAGGACGGGTGTACTCAACAATGGTGCCACGGTAGTGTAGCCGATCAGGACGGGTGTACTCAACAATGGTGCCACGGTAGTGTAGCCGACCAGGACGAGTGTACTCAACAATGGTGCCTCGGCAGTGTAGCCGACCAGGACGGAGTATGTACTCAACAATGGTGCCACGGTAGTGTAGCCGACCCGGACGGGTGTACTCAACAATGGTGCCACGGTAGTGTAGCCGACCAGGACGGGTGTACTCAACAATGGTGCCTCGGTAGTGTAGCCGACCAGGACGGGTGTACTCAACAATGGTGCCACGGTAGTGTAGCCGACCAGGACGGGTGTACTCAACAATGGTGCCTCGGTAGTGTAGCCGACCAGGACGGGTGTACTCAACAATGGTGCCTCGGTAGTGTAGCCGACCAGGACGGGTGTACTCAACAATGGTGCCTCGGTAGTGTAGCCGAACAAGACGGGTGTAGTCAACAATGGTGCCACGGTAGTGTAGCCGACCAGGACGGGTGAAGTCAACAATGGTGCCTCGGTAGTGTAACCGACCAGGACGAGTATACTCAACAATGGTGCCACGGTAGTGTAGCCTACCAGGACGGGTGTACTCAACAATGGTGCCACGGTAGTGTAGCCGACCAGGACGAGTGTACTCAACAATGGTGCCTCGGCAGTGTAGCCGACCAGGACGGGTGTACTTCAACAATGGAGCCACGGTAGTGTAGCCGACCAGGACGGGTGTACTCAACAATGGTGCCACGGTAGTGTAGCCGACCAGGACGGGTGTACTCAACAATGGTGCCTCGGCAGTGTACTAGCCGACCAGGACGGGTGTACTCAACAATGGTGCCACGGTAGTGTAGCCGACCAGGACGGGTGTACTCAACAATGGTGCCTCGGTAGTGTAGCCGACCAGGACGGGTGTACTCAACAATGGTGCCTCGGTAGTGTAGCCGACCAGGACGGGTGTACTCAACAATGGTGCCTCGGTAGTGTAGCCGACCAGGACGGGTGTACTCAACAATGGTGCCTCGGTAGTGTAGTCGACCAAGACGGGTGTAGTCAACAATGGTGCCACGGTAGTGTAGCCGACCAGGACGGGTGAAGTCAACAATGGTGCCACGGTAGTGTAACCGACCAGGACGAGTATACTCAACAATGGTGCCACGGTAGTGTAGCCGACCAGGACGGGTGTACTCAACAATGGTGCCACGGTAGTGTAGCCGACCAGGACGAGTGTGTAGCCGACCGGACTCAACAATGGTGCCTCGGCAGTGTAGCCGACCAGGACGGGTGTACTCAACAATGGTGCCACGGTAGTGTAGCCGACCCGGACGGGTGTACTCAACAATGGTGCCACGGTAGTGTAGCCGACCAGGACGGGTGTAATTCAACAATGGTGCCTCGGCAGTGTAGCCGACCAGGACGGGTGTACTCAACAATGGTGCCACGGTAGTGTAGCCGACCAGGACGGGTGTACTCAACAATGGTGCCTCGGTAGTGTAGCCGACCAGGACGGGTGTACTCAACAATGGTGCCTCGGTAGTGTAGCCGACCAGGACGGGTGTACTCAACAATGGTGCCTCGGTAGTGTAGCCGACCAGGACGGGTGTACTCAACAATGGTGCCACGGTAGTGTAGCCGACCAGGACGGGTGTACTCAACAATGGTGCCACGGTAGTGTAACCGACCAGGACGAGTGTACTCAACAATGGTGCCTCGGTAGTGTAGCCGACCAGGACGAGTGTACTCAACAATGGTGCCTCGGTAGTGTAGCCGACCAGGACGGGTGTACTCAACAATGGTGCCTCGGTAGTGTAGCCGACCAGGACGGGTGTACTCAACAATGGTGCCACGGTAGTGTAGCCGACCAGGACGGGTGAAGTCAACAATGGTGCCACGGTGTAACCGACCAGGACGAGTATACTCAACAATGGTGCCACGGTAGTGTAGCCGACCAGGACGGGTGTACTCAACAATGGTGCCACGGTAGTGTAGCCGACCAGGACGAGTGTACTCAACAATGGTGCCTCGGCAGTGTAGCCGACCAGGACGGGTGTACTCAACAATGGTGCCACGGTAGTGTAGCCGACCAGGACGGGTGTACTCAACAATGGTGCCACGGTAGTGTAGCCGACCAGGACGGGTGTACTCAACAATGGTGCCTCGGCAGTGTAGCCGACCAGGACGGGTGTACTCAACAATGGTGCCACGGTAGTGTAGCCGACCAGGACGGGTGTACTCAACAATGGTGCCACGGTAGTAGTGTAGCCGACCAGGACGGGTGTACTCAACAATGGTGCCTCGGTAGTGTAGCCGACCCGGAGGACGGGTGTACTCAACAATGGTGCCTCGGTAGTGTAGCCGACCAGGACGGGTGTACTCAACAATGGTGCCTCGGTAGTGTAGCCGACCAGGACGGGTGTACTCAACAATGGTGCCACGGTAGTGTAGCCGACCAGGACGGGTGTACTCAACAATGGTGCCTCGGTAGTGTAGCCGACCAGGACGGGTGTACTCAACAATGGTGCCACGGTAGTGTAGCCGACCAG